TCCAAGCCCATACTTCCTCAAGTGCACGAATTGCAAGTCCTGGTGAACAAAATCAAAGCGGTGAAAATAGACATTCCTGAAACCTTTCAAGTTGGTGCAATCATTGCGAAGTTACCAAGTTCGTGGAAAGGATATAAAAAGAAACTGCTGCACAGTTCTGATGACTTTTCCTTGGAGAAAATCCAGAAGCATCTTCGAATCGAGGAGGAATCGAAGGAGAGGGAAAAATCAGAATCTGCGGGTCTGTCCAAAGCCAATGCTGTGACCAGAAAGGAAAAGAAAAAACATGATGTCAAGAAAAGTCACATCGCACCAAAAAAGGAACATACCAAGTTCAAGAACTTCGGTGGTCCGAAGGGTCCGAAAAATGGATGCTTTGTATGTGGAAAACCTGGACATTATGCTCGAGATTGCAGGCATAATAAATCAAAAAAGGAGATCAATGCAGTGAATGCTAATGATGATATAATTGCTACTGTGAGCGAAATTATGGCAATCAAAGGCAAAGTCCAAGGCTGGTGGTATGATACATGTGCCACGGTTCATGTCTCATATGACAGGGCTGCATTCAAAACATATTCTGAGGCAAATGATGGACAAGAAGTACAAATGGGAAATGAAGTGCGATCCAAAGTTGTTGGAACCGGAACGGTCGAACTCAACTTCACTTCTGGAAAGAAAGTTACCCTTGTTAATGTGCTTCATGTCCCAGACATGAATAGGAATCTTGTTAGTGGGGATTTATTGGGAAAACCGGGTATTAAATCTGTGTATGAATCGGGCAAACTTATCTTGACCCGTAATGGTGTGTTTGTTGGAAAAGGATATTCCGCTGAAGGAATGATCAAACTATGTATTACTGATAACATGATTAATGAAATTTCTAATTCTGCTTACATGTTTGATTCAGTTACTTTATGGCACAATAGATTAGCACATATTGGTATTAGTTCAATGAAGAGACTAATTAAACTAGGCTTGATATCATGTAATATCAAAAATTTCAATAAATGTGAATTATGTGTTAAATCAAAAATGATTAAGAAACCTTTCAAAAGTGTTGAAAGAAATACAAATCTGCTTGATCTTGTGCATTCAGATTTGTGCGAATTTAATGGCATGTTGACCCGTGGGGGAAATAGATATTTCATTACATTTATTGATGATTGTTCTAGATACACTTATGTATATATCTTAAAGCATAAAGATGAGGCTTTTAATGTCTTTAAGAGTTACAAAGCAGAAGTGGAAAATCAATTAAGTAGAAGTATAAAAGTCCTTAGGAGTGATAGGGGCGGTGAATACTTCTCTACTGAATTTGATGCATTTTGTGAAGAACATGGTATAATACATGAATGTTCGGCACCTAGAACACCACAACAAAATGGCATAGCAGAAAGAAAGAATCGAACATATCAAGAAATGATGAATGCCATGTTATTGCATTCCGAACTACCTTTCAATTTGTGGGGCGAAGCTTTATTATCCGCTTGTCACATAATAAATAGAATTCCCTTAAAGAAAAGTGGAATTTCCCCATATGAGGTATGGAAGGGCATGACACCAAATATTGGCTATTTTAAGGTGTGGGGGTGTGTGGCATATTACAAAAACATGGATCCTAAGAGAACCAAGTTGGGTCCTCGAGGGATAAGATGTGCATTTGTAGGATATGCACAAAATAGCAAAGCATATAGACTGTTAAATTTAGAGTCTAATATTATTGTTGAATCCCGGGATGTAGAATTCTTTGAAAACCTTATAACTAAGGATAAAGAATCAGAGTCGGCCATAAATAAAGAATCTTGTGAAAAAGACTCTTCTCGGATTGTAGAAATACAACCTGAAGACACATCTCGAATAAATGAACCACGACCCGAACCTAGGATAAGCAAAAGAGTCCGGAAAATAAAGAACCTAGGACCAGACGAAATTGATTCTCAATCCATTTCATTTTATCTGGTTGAAGGAAATAGTACAAATTTTATTAAAAGCATTCCGGTAATTCTTCAAGTAGGGGAAGATCCTAAAACTTATAAGGAAGCAATAGCTTCAAGAGACTCCTCTTTTTGGAAAGATGCTATCCGAGATGAAATGGATTCAATTATGTCCAACCACACTTGGGAACTTGTTGATTTACCAAAGGGATCAAGACCCATTGGATGCAAGTGGGTGTTTAAAAAGAAATATCATAGTGATGGTACATTAAACACTTATAAAGCAAGATTAGTGGCAAAAGGATTTAGACAAAAGGAAGGTATATATTATTTTGACACTTATGCACCTGTAGCGAGAACAACCACTATAAGGTTGTTGTTTGCTTTAGCATCTTTAAATGATCTGATTGTTCATCAAATGGATGTTAAAACAGCATTCCTAAACGGAGACCTCGATGAGGAAATCTACATGGAACAACCAGAAGGACACGTCCTTCCTGGAAATGAACAGAAGGTGTGCAAACTTGTCAAATCTCTATATGGCTTAAAACAAGCACAAAAACAATGGCATCAAAAGTTTGACTCTACGATAATGTCAAATGGATTTATTCCTAATTCTTGTGACAAGTGTTTATATACAAAAGTGTATAATAACACTGTAATATTTTTGTGTCTTTATGTTGATGACATGCTAATAATTAGCAATAGACTTAATGGAATTCTAGAAACAAAAAGGTTTCTAACTTCCACTTTCAAGATGAAAGATCTTGGGCTTGTTGACACAATTTTAGGAATAAAAGTTAAGCAAAATAGTGGGGGTTATGAACTTAATCAAACACATTATATTGAGAAAATGCTTGATAAGTTCAAACACCTGAAATTCAAGGAAGTAACTACTCCATTTGATCATGTAATCAAACTTGAAAAGAATGATGGAAGAGCAGTGGCTCAATTAGAATATGCAAGTGCGATCGGATGTCTTATGTACTTAATGCAATGTACTAGACCCGATATATCATTTGCAGTTAGTAAAATGAGTAGATTTACTAGTAATCCAACTAATGAACATTGGAAGGCAATCACAAGGATATTTGGTTATTTGTTGAAAACCAAAGATCTTGGCCTTCATTATGGTAGGTTTCCTGCTATACTAGAAGGATATACCGATGCCATTTGGATCTCTGACGTGGGAAATCACAAATCTACAACTGGGTGGATATTTACACTAGCTGGAGGAGCAATTTCCTGGAAGAGCAAGAAACAAACATGCATTACTCTTTCGACCATGGAATCAGAATTCGTGGCTCTCGCTTCCGCTAGTCAAGAGGCAGAGTGGTTGAGGGATCTTCTTTTGGAAGTTCCATTGGCTAAAGACAATGTTTCAAAGGTAATGATACACTGCGATAGTCAGGCCACTTTGGCAAGAGCATTTAGCGAAGTGTATAATGGAAAGTCCAGGCATATAGGACTTAGACATTCGTTCGTAAGAAAACTGATTAAGGATGGAATCATTTCACTTACGTATATACGAACAAGCTATAATTTGGCTGATCCGTTTACTAAGCCACTGGCCAGAGACTTAGTAAGAACAACCTCGAGAGGTATGGGGTTGAAACTCCTTGAGTAAGAGTTCCGACAATGGCGGCAACCCAATCTTAAGTTAACAGAACATTAACGTTAAGATTTTCAATGGGTAACAACAAGTCGTTGATTTGGATAATTGTCTAACATTTCATAATTATGTTGACATTAGAAATGAGGGTTGAGTTTTATCTTAAACTCTTAATGAAGTTCAATACCGAGGGTACGTATCTACTGGAAACAGATACTATATGAACTTCACCTATGTGAATTATGAGATGGTGCCGTCTCAAAGTGAGAGTTGGAGTTTCTCTCATGGAAAATTCATGAAACAGGATAGCACATGGCCATAAATAAGTGCTAAGCGAGTTATGCAGAGGAAGAATCTTTAAGGAGTGTGTGTAAGGTAACACCGGTCTATTCAAATGGATTCATGGTTTAAAAGCATTGCTACCTAATATTCCGATTAAACCTTGTGTTATTCTTACTAAGGTTAAGTTTAAAATCGAAAGATACTTAACTGTATTAATACTTCTTATGTCCCATTTCTGGAATTATTATTTTGTCATTATTAGAACAAGTGGGGGATTGTTGGAAATAATAATTTATTTCCATTAAAGTTGTTCCAAAATGACAAAGTGGGTGTTATAATAAATGCTTAGTCCCACATTGGAAGAGGAGTAAAATTAAATAGCATTTATAAGGCACTTGGAACAATGTAATTTCCAAAAGAGCCAAAAAGGATAAAGTGCCACATAGTCACATGTGGTGGTGCCAAAACTTATGTCACTTGTCTCATACAAAACACCCCTCGCCGGTGTCGCCACCGGCGACACCGGCTCCGGCTCCGGCTCCGGATCCGGATCCGGGGGCGTGGGCGTAGAGGCGCTAGTGGCGGCTTGTAGACGGCACTTGAGCACTTGGGCACGACGCATCGGAGCAATCGGGCTCTTCGCGGCGCCGGTGGCGCTCCGGCCGCGAATTTAATTTTTAATTATCGCTCAGACTTATTCGTTGCCTAGAGTTTGATTTTGAATTTGAATTTGAAATACATGACACTTGACGAAGTGGTGCATGATATTTTATGTGAACCATTGCAAATGCTCATTAGAGAGTGTGTTTATGAAGAATTGCAAACTTCTGAAAAGACACATGCATGGCTATAAATATATGCTTCATAATTCGAAATCATTCACTCCAAATTCTGAAATCCTCTTCCATATAATTCCAACATTTTCCTTGCATTCGAAACTTCATCAGTCTTGTGCAGTTTCGAGAAAAAGGCTGACTTATCCTGGGTATTCAGGCCGTTTCAACTCTAAGACAATTTGAGAGTGTGCTTGAAATACTTTTAAGGAAAGTGATTTCGTTCACGATTCAGTCTGGATCCATTCGACATAGAAGGATTATCTAACATCTTTTATAAACTTGCATGTGATTGATTATATGTATGATTATTTTTTCAGTCCAACATTAAGAGGCATGGCTCTGGTCTCTTTCTTTTATGAGTTGGGAATGTCTGCCATAAGCAGTGTTTTGCTGGTATGTTTTCAGCTTTTTGCTTATACTTAAACGAAAAATCTCTTTTAATTAACTCATAACTTGACAGTAAGTAATTAATTCCACTGCAGTACTATTTGAAAGCTGTTTTCGGCTTTAACAAAAATCAGTTCTCGGAACTTCTGATGATGGTTGAAATTGGTTCAATTTTTTCTCAGGTATGTATAATACTAACATTGTAAGATATTTGGCTTATTTTAAGTACTTACTGCAAACTGATTTGCAGATTGTGCTGCTTCCAATACTTAATCCTTTGGTTGGAGAGAAAGTGATTCTATGTTTGGCCTTACTTGCATCAATAGCATATGTAAGTTTATCTTTCTTTTCTTTTCATCTTACATGCTTCCTAAAACCAAAATCACTTATACCATAGTTCTCTTCATACACTTTGTTTTGTAGGCTTTGCTTTCTGGTTTAGCATGGGCCCCTTGGGTAAGTAAAATTGATATCTTCCTATACTAAGTTTTAAGTTTCAGTAGCAGTAACACCTCTAAAAAAATAATATAATATATCCGTGTCAGTGTCCATGTCTGAAATCGACACCACACTTATTATTTTTTAAAATTATTATTCACATGTCACTGATATTTTGGTTGTTTTTATTTAATAAGGTTATGGTCACATGGCAGAAAAACACTTATTCCATATTTCCAATCCAACTTTCTTATTTGGACAATATCAATCTAGCCGGATTATTTTGGTACTCCTTATTTCAAATCCACTATAAATTAATATATAAACTTGGAGCAAGTTAAGTACACTGTTAGATTATAGCTATTTAATACTCAGTTTTCAATAATGTAGAAAAAGTAAAATATAGTCCATATTATAGGGTTTATCAGATATTGAGGTTTTTGCCGATTGTAGAAATTTTAGTCTTGTGGGGACTTAGAAATCATTTTGCGTTGGCTTGGTGTAAATACAACTGCACGTTCAGCCTGCTGTTCTTGGTCAGAGATATAGGGGCAAATTATGTTTTGTAGGTAATCAATAGATAGCAAGGTGAAAGGCTTTAACGGGATATTATTGTAATTCTGATATTGCAATGTACATGTTTCTGATAGAAATGGCACGTCTAACAGGAAACTGTTATTAAGAGGACATGGCTCAAGTAATGCTATAATTTATTGTATACCTTATCACATGGACAATCATATATGTTCACAACCTCTATAATCCACTGACTTAACATGTTGGGATAATTCAAATTGCAGGCAATGAATTTTTTGCTGACTTATTGCTGCTTTTGATGCTTGAAGAAAATGCCTTTTGGTAGGTCTCAATAAAGCCTCCTTAGATTTCTAGAGTATATACTCAGTATTTGCACTTCTTCAATGTAGCTTCATAATTTTAAATGTTCCTGTATTTGTTGAGCTTTAATGTCATGAAGAAATGTGATAGAAACCTGATATTTATAGTGAGTGAATTAAAGAAAATAAAATAGAAATGATAGAACAATTCTCTATAGAATTTGTCTTAAACATCAGTTTATATTTTAATATAGAATTAACACATTTGATTCCACTGGTGCAATATATAATGTAAGCAGGGTCCTTAGTATCATATTTGTATTTGACTATGGATTGAGCTTTGCAATTGTCACGGCCACCGTTTCTCAAGTTCTCCTCTTCCACTGAAAGTATGTTTTCTTGTATTCCACATTCTTCGATTACGTATTATTGATGCGATTTTTATAATTAACCATCCAACTATATATATTTTGGTGGTTGTGAATTTGAAAGAGAGATTCTTTTGACGTGGAGGAAGACAACTATACTTCGATTACGTATTATTGATGCGATTTTTATAATTAACCATCTAATTATATATATTATTTTGAAAGAGAGATTTTTTTTATAATTAACTATCTAACTATACTTTTTCTCATACCCGTGCGGACGCACGGGTCTTTTACTAGTTAACAACACGAAAATCACATTAAAATCATATATCTATAATCTATAACATATATAAAAATAATACTTGATTTTTGGTGTAGTTTTTTTTTTTTTTATACCAAATTTACTCTTATTTTAAAATATATAACTTACCCAATAACTTCCATTGAACTACTACTGTCATCTTTCGTATAACTCCATACCAATAACTTCCCAGATAACTTCCACGTAAAATTAATATTAAATAAAAATATATCATTTATATTTATACGTGTGCAATAAAAAAGCGGACAGACAGACACGCGAGTTCTCGTCTGGACGCTAGTAATTATTATTCAAATAAATTAGTTAACGGTAATAATATCTTTAATATTCAAAATAACCTTCAAGCAAATTTCATTTCCACTCTACCATAGACCCGTACGGGTAATTCTCCACTACATATGGCGATAGACCAAGGGAGAGCTAGGGCATTCTCAAGATCCAGATTCGCAGGAATTTTCTGAGCAATTTCGAGGTAAGGGGGAGAGTGGGTTCAATATTGATGGTAATATCATAAGAGGGTAGTGAGGGTTCTTTCCCCTCTTAAGATTTTTGTGTCATATGTGAATCTATTTTGGTTTGCTTGATTTTATGTGTATGATTGCTGTGAAATTTCTGATATGATGTGAAATTTCTGAAATTTCTGATATAGATTTTCGTGTCATATGTGAATCTATTCTGTGAAAATTTTGAACTTGGGTTCAAAAATGTGTCCGAGTCCTGCGGTTATGCGGAATGCTACAAACGCTTGGTGAATTGTTATAACTGTAATGTTATAACTGTAATGTTGTGATGTTGAGTTAACCATTATATAACTTTATTAACCCTTATATAGTTTTATGTAGACTGTGTGAAATTGTATATGTAATTTGACTGTTTGAAGTCTTATATGAACTTACTGAAACAGAAATTGTCAAATGGGAGATGGGACTTCGGTTGCCAATTCTTTTTGTGGGAGGACCAACTCAGGCGTTGTCTGTGTGGTGAAGGTCTGTGTGCCCTTGTACGATACGAAGACAAGGGCATGGAAGTGTGCTCCCTGCAGGTATGCAAAATCCTGTGTTTTCTAAGCAATATATTTTAAATTACTATTGCCTGAATTATCTGGTACCACAGGGTTGTTCACCAGCTGAATCCAGAGATGGCAGTGGTTCTTCAAAATCTAGACAGTGCCAATGGTGCCAAGTTTTATCAATCAAAATCAAGATTTTGGAAGCCAAGCTGGTTGTTCAATCTCCGGAGAAGCACGCCAACACATCATCCGCCATTTTATACGAAGCTTTGGAAGAGGCGTCTGATGCGGTGGTGGGACTATCACTGGATCATCAACCAAATATTTCTTAATGTGATTGTTGACAGTATGGGTACTTGAATTCTCATTTAGGTGTTACTTGTTTTTCATTCTTGTAATTGTGAGACTTGTTAATTGTGTCACTTGTTTCTCTGGTTTTTGCAGTTAATGTTGCTGAACCTCTCCTGAAATTTAATGTTCCACTACACATGGTCTATATCCTCCACTACATATAAAGTTAATTGTGTCATCTCGTGTTGGTGGTCTATATCCTTCACTACATATGGCGATGAGGAAGTTTAATGTTCCATGAGACATCAATAAATTATAGTGAAAAGAAACAAGAGGAGTATGAGCATAAGAGGAAACTTAAAGAGGAGTATGGTTAGTGGTTTTACAAATATTCTTATGCTTTTGGGAAGTGAGCTGATTTGATCAATTAAATTGCACCAGTTTGTTGATAGTTTACCCTTGACATGTAGGAAATTTAGCCTTGGACTTTTACTCAGAAGCTAGGAGATGCTGTTATCGTTCGAGCCGGTTGTCCTCACCAAGTCAGGAATCTGAAGGTAAAATTTACATACATACATCTTACAAATTTCCTTGTTTGCCTTAAAAACTTATATATTGGATATAATCGCTGCATGACAGCTTGAACTTCTAATTTCTTACAAATTATTTTTTGGATATAATGTCCTGATTGATTTTCTTCTGGCTGTTGTTTGAAATGTTTGTGTTAATGTGTCAGTACATGCATCGTCTTTTTGTAGTCATACATCAAGGTAGGACTTGATTTTGTCTCACCTGAAAATGTTGGCAGAGGAATTTCGTAAGCTTCCGTTAAACCACAGGTCCACCGAGGTAAAGTTGGAGGTCTGCTATACTACTAATCTTGATTCTATCCTGCTGTTTATATGTTTACTAATGTTGAAATAATGCATTTCCTATTTTATCTGGATTATTTCAAATGGATTTAGTTTAGGACAAATTGGAGGTCTGCTATACTATTTCAAATGGACTTTGATTGTTTGTATTTTCTTATTTATTTTAGGCCTCGGCAAAGAATTTGCCTTCATCTTGCACTTCAAGACTTCCACCAGGGCTGGTAAGTTTGCGAATTGTAAACCTACAACCATCACAACTTCTTCGGCGTTGCTAATACTTCAGGACTATTTTTGTAGTGTTTTTTCCCGCAAAACGTGGCCGCACAAATTAGTACACCAATCTTCTTTGTGTTAGTATCTAATAGGTTCGGTATGTTCTTATGACATAAGCTATGTAATGTAACGGAGTTTCAAGCATTTGTTTATTTGTCAGTGATGCTTTTGTTTATTTTGTGTGTGTAGTTCTCACACCTTGCATGGGTTCAATCAGATAGAAAGTCGACCTTGGTGACTTGAATTATCCTCTTGTTTCTGATGTCACCAAATCCATATCGGAATCTTATGGTGTTCTCATTCCCGATCATGTATATTCAACTATATTATTTTTAACTCTTAATTATAGATGAATAAATATAGTTTAAACAATATCATATATGCAGTGGTATCGGTGTCTTATGTTTTTGATATTATCGGTGTCGGAGTGTCCGTGTTGTGTCGTGGTCTTTTGAAATCTGTTTTGATTTTGTGCTAATATTCAACACTCCCCCTCAAACTGACATGAATATATCGTTCATAGCAAGCTTGCACACCATGTTATCAAACAGTCTCTTTAGAAGACTCTTTGTGAGAACATCTGCTACTTGACTTTTGGTGGGTATGTAGGACATACAAATCTCACCGCTATCAATTTTTTCTTTGATGAAATGCTTGTCCACTTCAACATGCTTCGTCCTGTCATGTAGGACAGGATTATGGGCAATAGAAATAATTAGAGTTGGGCCAAAAAACTTCAATTCTTCCATGAACTTTTTGATCCATAATACTTCACAAAAACCATGGGCCACAGATCGGAATTCAGCTTCTGCACTGCTCCTGGCTACAACATTTTGTTTTTTGCTCCTCCATGTAACTAAATTTTCACCTACAAAAGTACAATATCCTAAGGTAGACCTTCTATCATTTATATTACCTGCCCAATCAGCATATGTATAGGCTTCAACCTGTATATGTCATCTATTTCTGAATATCAGCCCCTTTC